TCGCCGTACCCTTCGTTTATCCTCTAACCTTCGACAATTAACTCTTGGAACGAAAAGAATTTTTAACAGTTGCTGGAAAATCTGGCAAACGAACGGAAGGACGAAGAAATTGGGAAAATGAACCGTATAAGGGATTTCGCCGATCGAATTTGGTATCGACACTCGACCGACGATAGACTTAGATAGACGATACTTACGGAACTCGGTACGGATAGACGATAGCGGTGGGTGTGGTGTACCTGTGCGCTTTATGTGCACTTAGCGGACGTACGAGCGTAAAAACCGGCAAACGATCCGAACAAACGAACGGACGGACGTAACGAAACACGACGGCAAAACAGGCAGAAAAGGGCCCCCCATAGCGGTCGCTCTAAAGAGAGGATTCCGCGTTCCGTTCTCCCTGCATGCCCTGAGAAGGTTTAGGCGGGCCCTTTCCCACTTTCCGATTGGTCGGCCCTTTCCCCCACCGACTGCGATCGTCGCGTATAAAGCGACCTTCCCGCCACATCGGCCAGTTAGTACGCGACTCTTGCGGGCTGGTGGTAGTACGTCGACCTTTCTCACTGCTCGGTCTGACGCGTGGCCAGCTACCGCCCGATCTCCCTCCCTCCTTTTATCTCCCTCTTCTTGGATAACACGAATTTCCATGAGATAAAGTATATGCGTTCCATTACCTTATCGTTACGTACATAATCTCGTTCGTTTTACGCACGACTTCGCGTTTCTGCTGCTGTTCGATATGTTTTGGGAAGCCGTTACGGATTCGTGCGATGTGTGCCAGTGTACAAGGTATATAAACGTGTTAATTGCTTAAAGAAAATACCTACAGATTCCTACAGCTGTATGTACTTGGGTGCAAGTGTGATATTCTGTGAAATTTTTACGTAGCAGAAAAATGTGTTATTTTGCCGAACCGTTCGTTTCGTACGCGTTAGACGATGTGCAAGTAACAGTTCGTTTCTCTGCTTTCCTCAGTCCTACGATTCATTTTCTGCTGAGAATCGCTACGAGGAATCAAGTATCGAAATGCGCCGACAAATTTATTACGCGCTGAATGTCGCCGTCGAGATTTTTTCGCGCGCATATGGGATTCATGTGGCTATATGCGCGCACGCGCACACCCTTGCCGCGCACGCGTTCTACCGTAACTTTCTCGCGTAGTACATATGTTGAAGCATTTTGGCGGTAACGTACATGAACATTTCGCGGACGAAACGGCGATAGCCCATCTTCTCCGTTTAGGTCGTCTCGTTAGGAGGTAGAAGGCTCGTAACAAAACGAGCAATCAGTTTAAGGGCATTTCGTGAGAATCGTTGTTGCGCTACTAGTGGACATTGTTGTATATGCGATGCAGTTCGAAAGATGAAACGTGAATAATACTTGCGGTAAACGATATCGGCGGAAGATACGTTCAACTCTGTCCGTGGAAATGACGCGCGTGTATAGTTTTCGTTCACTCGCGAAACTTTCTGTTCTCGGTTAGAATTAACAAGGAAAATCTTTACCGACGTGTACCTATCGAGGTTAGGTTCATCGGAAATCATCTCGGTTTCGCTTTTGTGTACGACAGTGTTATGTACACCGCCTATACTGATTATTCCTTTATTTTCAGGCTCTTCAAGAATGCCTTCAAAATCAAAAGCACTCCAGAAAACACGATAAAATCCAAGCCGAAATCGCGTCGACTCCTCGGCATGGCTTCGCGACGCTTCTCCAGTCCAGACCGGGTCTCGCCATCTATCGACAAGGAAAACAATAGCGCTGCTTGCAGCCCACATGGTGTCAGCCCACAAAAGGTACGTTATCACTTTTTCTTTCTCATCTATCCCGCCCGTTACAGATAGTTCTCCTCGTATCCAGTACGAAAATCAGGTTTTCTAGCGTACCAAGTGACGTTACGGTAGATAAAACGACGATACACCTGTTCTTGTATCGTTCGGTGTCATTTGTCATTCACTCACTCACTCACTCACTTTCCTTACCGACACTCCCAAATAGATCAAAGATACTATAGCGTTCTCGCTCGAATCGAATCTTCCGGTCGATCTAACGAGCCGAATTTTCCGTTATCCTACTTTTTCAACGTATATACATATGTAAGTAGATGGTTGAACCACCACACGGCACTTTGCTACGCAACCCTAGTCAACCGACAGACTTGGTCTTTCGGTTCGATGAAAATTCCATCAGGTGATGTACTTTTCGCGAAATTCTAATCGATGTGTTTTCTTTTCTTTGTTGCCAACAGATCGGTTGTGCGAAAAAATTCCGTCATCCGCTGGAAGATTGCGACCCGAACAGCCAGGACAGTGGTTACGAGGCAAGTTATCCGGAGAAGGAGGAAAAGACAGCTAGGGATGGGTTCCGATTCGCGGAACCTCTGGCGGTTGCACCTCGTCGAATGTCCATCGAATCTCGAAGCCCAATGGAATCACCGGTGCGATCTTCGCCGCAGCGGACGCGTATCGCACGACCTTCCCTCTTTCGAAGCCTCTCGTCCGGCTACGAGAGCATGGACGATGGCTTCAACGATCTAATCGACGTCGAGAACCTGGACGATGCGACGCAATTACCGAACGGCATATCGACTCTCCTTTGCGGTGACATCGTCAGCGCCATCGACGCCGGTATTATCGAGCCCGGAATTCCCGACGCGTGCAACCCGAGTACACCAGAATTCTCACGTACCAGTTGCTCCAGTGGTAACTTGCGACGTTCGGTCTCGTTGCAAAACGAAAGAGTAGAATGCCGGAAAAATACCTCTTCGTCGTCCCTTTCCAAAGTTCGTTCCTGTTTGTTTCGTTCTCCGAACGCGAGCTCGTCCACCACAAATCCAGGTTTCGACGATAGCAGTCCGTTAGCGACGACGATGCCTGTCGCGCGACGTCGCAGAATCGCCGAAGAAATCGCCGATGGGAAAACCGTAATATCCAACTCCTCCTCCCCACTCCATTTTCCGTTATCCATTCGAACGTTCAAACGACCGGAGCCACCGATCGACGAAAGCCCGAAGCTAGTCAAGCGATCACGAAAATTGAACACTTTCCTCGATATCGTGAGAAAGAACGATGTCGCCGATATCACCACGACGACGACAACAACGACCACGGCGGAGACGACGACGACAGCGACGACAATGACGACAATGACGACAATGACGACGACATCGCCGCTGCCAATGACAGTGTTCAATGCGAAATGTGTGCGGTTGCAGAGGAGTTTGTCCGAAATGGCGACAGCATCAACAATAGGAAAAGCAACGATGAAAATGGAGACGGAGGCAGAAACAGAGACGGAGATGCAATCGGTAATGGAAACGCACGCGCACATCAAATCGGCTATTTATCGGAGTACCACCGATGCAGATCTTACGGGAGATTTTAGCAAACAGTGCGTCTTACCGTTGGCCACCGGTAATCACGAGGACCTGAAATCCATTTCCGCGGACACTTTAGCCTCTTTGATACGCGGGGAATTCAGTGATGTTATTGGTTCCTTCAAAATCGTAGATTGCCGTTATCCGTACGAGTTCGACGCCGGTCATATCGAAGGTGCTCTAAACCTTTACAGCAAAGACCTTATCGAGCATTGTCTGTTAGATCCGTTGACGAGTACGCCCGAGATTAAGCCGGACACTAACGCGAAAAGGAATATCTTAGTGTTTCATTGTGAATTTTCGTGGGAACGTGGACCGAATCTATCGCGGTTTCTACGAAACTTGGATCGGCAACGTAACAAGGAGCATTATCCTGCTCTTCATTATCCGGAACTTTACCTGTTGCACGGTGGATACGAGCAGTTTTACAGAGAACAGAAAGGGTTATGCTCGCCACAAGGTTACCGACCGATGAGGCACCCCGATCACGAGGCCGATCTTAGGCAATTTCGCAGTAAAAGCAAGAGTTGGCAAGGGGAAAAGTCGAGAATCGGTGGATGCACCGTGCGAACTAATCTCAAAAGCTTAGGATTTTGAACGCATCTCTCTCCTACCTTCCTTTCCTTTTCCATGCTTTTTCACCCTCTATCTCTGTCTGCCTTTACCTACCTTCATCTCCTTCCACTTTTTCCCCTTTCTCCCTTCCTAACCGGCTTTACCTTCGCACGACGAACTGTCAACGCGCCTCCGTGTTTGAGTAGAGTTGTTTAGTCGAAAAATCGAATGATCGTTAGTGACGATGGGAAGGGTGGAGCGAGGTTAGGGAAACAGAAAACATCTCTGTCTTATTGTCTTTTCGTTTTATTTCTTTCATATTCGTTGCGATCATGACACTCGCGCGATCGTTCCTGTAACGATTTGTAAATAATAATAGCTTCCTTTGTTCAAGTACGCTTAGTTTTTTAGTAAAAGAATCTTAGTAGAAGAATATGCAAAGTGTTTACTCGTCTTCGACGACACGAACGACAACAGCGAAAGCGGTCGTTCGTTCGTTCGTTCGTTCGTTCGTTCGCTCGCTCTCTCGCTTGCTTGCTTGCTTGCTCGTTGTCGAGACTTTAGTATTTTCGGTCAGCGAAAAATTGCTTGTAAACAGGGTGGATGAAATGGCTTAAAGGTCGACGCAAAGATGTATAGTCGGTAATGAAGTACTCTGTTCCCTGCACGTAACAGCTGTAATGGATATAGCGGAGCGAATTGAAGTAAGATCGCGATGGAGCGAAACCAGTCGATAACGATGAAATAATGTTTTCTCGGGCAGGTTCCCCCCCATTCGTACGTATTCGATATCAGCCTTTTGTCGGATTCACGCGATCTTCGAACGTTTACCTGCGAATTTTGCCGTGCAAAAATTAATCGATGGTAGAACGCGGTCGTCGTCGTTTTGTTTCGAGGTACTTTGCATCGCCAAAGCTTAGCGTGTATGTATACACTCGTGTAAAGAAGATACTATTAGACGGTATTAGGTGTATTGAAAAAAGATGCCGGGAATTGTTGACAAAGAGATTAAAATGTTCTAAATGTGCAAATTTGTATGACGGTGTGTTCATTGATGTATGGGTGTGCGTGCGCGCGCGCGCGCATGATGTATGCTGTACGCATGTATTGTATGTATACACGTAGTATATAGCATAGGTAGGGAGAGAGATTACACACACACACACACACATGTATTATAAATTGATTATATGTTTTATGTGCCTTTAGTCTCTATGTATACACACACACGCACAAACAAACAAACACACATATATGTATATAATACATTATTTCGTACAGTTAAAGAGAGTTTTGTTTTTTGTATTCATCTATTATTACGAAAAATGTTGCACTTGTAATCGACGAATGTTTCTCGATAGATGGCGATCGTATCGTGCTTCGCACTCATTGGTCCTTTCCCATCACGTTCGAATAACGATTGGCTAACCGGTGCCGGCATCTCAGCGCTGCTGATGTACTTATAACTACGTAGAGAGTGAACTTTTGGTGAAAAAGAGCAGGCGTGAAAGATCGGGCACTGTGTTCTCCGCTACTTCTAAGATCTTCTCAAAGTTAGCTTTATTCAAAGTATTGTGCGGTAAAGTGTCGTGTTTGCGTGCTAATTCGTGTTGAGTCATGTCACTGCTTTTATTGAACACAAGTAATACTTATTAAATTGACGGAATTACATACATCGCGTTTATTCTTTTTTCTTTCCTTGTACTGTATGCGACAGGTCATTGAATTGAATATTCCACGATTTCTGTTTTGTTTTTCCTTCGGAATCTCTGTTGCGTTATTTTCCTTTTTGTTTACTTAATGGCAGAACGATAGTAGGAAAGTTCTGTCTCAGTCTCATCGATCTTTATTCGTGCTGTACAGCTTGGTAAAGGGTTATGCGTGTGGAATCGTTATAGACTGATTAAATAGCTCTCGTTCGAGTCGTTTTTTCGTTAGAATTGCGCGATAGGGAGGGGGAGGGAGAGAGAGAGAGAGAGAGAGAGAGAGAGAGAGAGAGAGAGAGAGAGAGAGAGAAATATCACGCCTAACCTCGTTAATTTGTCAAACGTTGTTACACGGTGTACTTTCAGTTGGTGTGATCACAAGGAAACCTCTCGTGGAAATTGGCACTCGACTCTTGTCTTCCATGGCTGAAGCGTTGAAAACTCATGGCGTCGTGCCGGACGTTATAGACAAAGTTCCGCAAAATGTGCTGAACGTAACCTATCCAAATAAACTTACCGTTGATATTGGCAAAGTATTGACTCCAACGCAGGTTAAAGATCCACCTACCGTTACGTGGGACGCTGATGCGAACGGATATTACACTGTTTGCATGACTGGTACGTATAGGATTGAGAGAGGAGACGGCTTAAGAGCGAGAGATAGAGAAAGACAGGTTTGATTTTTCCGGTATTTTCGCAGACCCTGATGCACCGAGTCGTAAGGAACCAAAATTCCGCGAATGGCATCATTGGCTGGTAGGAAATATTCCTGGTTCAGACATTTCGAAAGGGGAAGTTCTTTCCGAATACGTCGGCTCGGGTCCGCCAAAAGACACAGGGCTTCATCGTTACGTGTTCCTGTTGTACAAACAGCCAGCAAAGCTGACGTTCGACGAGCCTCGACTGACCAATCGAAGCGCGGACAATCGGGGAAAATTTTCAATAAGGAAATTCGCCGCGAAGTATAAACTTGGTGATCCTATCGCCGGGAACATGTACCAAGCGGAATTCGACGACTACGTGCCGCTCCTGTATAAACAATTGGGAGCTTAAAGCTATCAACGTTGTACAGACAGTTTTGTAAACCGTGATACGAAAGCCTTACATTTAATTCCATATTAAACGTTGATTCACCTGTCACGAGACTCTTTCTTTATTCCTTGATTATAGTTGGTCCTCGTCGTAGTTATCCTTCGAATGATAGATCGAGAAGAAGTAG